GATATCTTACTCTTTTTGTAAAGTCAGAACCATCCCTCATCTTCCATACAAAAGTAATGGCTTGGGCTGGAGTGATAGCACAGCGGGTAGGGCATTTGCCTTGCACGCGGTCAACCCAGGTTCGATTCCCAGCATCCCATATGGTCCACTGAGCATCGCCGGGTGTGACCCAGAAGGCAAAAAAAAAAAATAATGGCTCATGTTTTGTATCGGTTATGATTTTTGTAGCCTGTGCCTCAGAATGGGAAAAACTTTTAACTTTTCAAAGGCCACTTGAGCAGACCAGAGAGATGGTGCAGAGGGTTGAGTGAGTGCCTGCTGAGGGCCTGGATTCCATCTCATACCAGCCAGTGGGACTCAGCCACCCACCCCCAGTAAGGCCCCTAAACTAAAATAATTAAATGCCACTTCAGGACTCTGGTAAGGACAAAGGGGCATCGGCGTTAAATAGTGACTAAACATGCACAGGTTGGGACCAGCCAGCACTGGCACTGACAGCTTCCCTTCCAGAACACTTGCTGGGTCTGCGTGTGGCCCGGGAAGCTGTCAGGGAGGGGTAGAGCAAACTCCCCTCACTGTGGGGAGGATTGCCACAGGCTGTGGCACCCCCACACTGCAGGGAACATCACTTTATCCACTAGGTTAGACACTTGATCTGAGACCCAGATTCGATCCCCAGTACCACATGCCCCACTGAGCAGTGCTGAGAGTAGCATCCAAGCTCCCTAGGAGTGACCCCTAAATTAATACTAGTAGTTGAAACTTATCGGGCCAGTGAGATAGGATAGTGGGTAAGGAGCTTTTTTTGCTGCTGACCTAGGTTCAGTTCCCAGTACCCCATATGGTCCCCTGAGCACTGCCGGGTATGGCCCCCAAACACACTTGTCAGGTACTTCCCTCCGCGGTAGTCAGTATCCCTGTTGAAAACCAGCTGTGCAGCTCGAGTCTGGTTTTGAATGTAAAATGTTAACTGAGTCCTGTTTGGCATGAGGAAAATTTAAGCTCCCAGTGTCAAGTAACTTAGGGGCTGGAACAGTAGTATATGGGTATGGTGCTTGTGTTGCACACAGCTGACTTGTGTGATCCCTGGCACCCATGTGGGGTCCTATCCAAGATTGAAAAGTTGAAATACCTTCCTTAAGGCTCTCCAAGCTAGTCTTGATCAAGAGCTAAAAGTTAAAGTGCAGTACTTCATGGTGGTGTGTGTTGGCGGGGGGTCGGGTCTGGAGAAATGATCACTTAATTCCTTGAAGGCGGTTGTTGAGCCACCAGTAAGAAGGGTCTGAGAGATTAGGTAGAATACATGGTTGTATCCTGGACATTCTCTGTGTCTTGGGTCACACTCAGTGGTGCTCAGGAGTTGCTCCTGTCTGTCAGCTGAGGGGTCACTCCTGGCAGGGCTCAGTGGACCAAATGAGATGCTGAGGTTCATCCCAACGTCCATGTGCAAGGCAGATGCCTTTCCCTGTGTAGCATTGCTCCAGCCCTAGTAGTTACTGTGAAAACCTATTCATGTTAGATAGTATTATTTGAGCACAATCTGCTGTGGTGGCCGTCTGTGCACATTATTGATTTTAGGGACCACACCCAAGGGTGTTTCACGGGCCTACAGTGCTAGATACCAAACTCAGGTTGACATACTGCACGTGTGATTGCTATTCAGTTTTTTTCTCAGCCCTAAAGTAGCCCTTCCTCCCACCCCATCAATGGACTATATTGACTAGTACATTGGTTATATGTTGAGCAGAATGCAAGAGTATTCCAACCCACCTGTACTCTCCACCACACCTTCCATAGAAGCAGTAAGTTGTTTTTGGTTTTGGGCCAAACTTACTTGGTGTTTAGGGCTTATTCCTAGTTCTATTAGAGAAACTTTCCAGGTGGGACTAGGGATACCATATAGAGTACTAAGAATTGAACCTGGTTCTGCAACTTCCAAGGCAAGTCCAGCTATAGTACATGTCTCCAGCTCTCAAAGGCAGTAATTTTAAAATGAAATAAACAGTTTTCCTTCTGGTATGTTGCTAATAGTCCTCTCCCTCCTACCTACATTCCTTCCTGTCAAGTTTATTATCTTGCTGGCCCCCAAATAGGAAAGGGAAGGTAGGGTCTTGAGTGTTGTTGAGAATTTAAACTTCTAAACAGGATTTTAGTTTAAATAACAAGATGATGAGTTTAGCGCATTCTGTCTAGGTTGACGTGGGGGGCGGGGACGGGACGACAAAGGTGCAGTAGGAGTTGGCAGGTTAACTGTTCCCTTTTTTCCTTCTTAGTACATCCAGCAGTGGTAATACGACAACGAAAGTCATATCGGAGAAAAGATGGCGTCTTTCTTTATTTTGAAGACAATGCGGGGGTCATAGTAAATAATAAAGGCGAAATGAAAGGTAAGAGAAGTCAGGACTTTTGGGATTGGCCTCTTGGGTTCAGGAATATAAGCAAAGGGCCTCTGATGTTATCCTCATTTTTGTATCTGCAGGTTCTGCCATCACCGGACCAGTTGCAAAGGAATGTGCAGATTTGTGGCCCAGGATTGCTTCCAATGCTGGCAGCATTGCATGATTTTTTAGTGTATTTGTTAAAAAGAACCCATTAAAAGTACTTGCTTCCAGGATGGGGGTAAGGGATTGTGACTCAATAGATTCCATCTGTTATAAAAATAAAAAATTGCTCCCAAAGTTTGTGTTTCTTTTCTATGCATCATTTTAACAGTCTATCTCTATAAAGCATAATTCAGTGTGGGAGCTGGAGAGGTAGTACATCTGGTAGAGACGATGTTTGCCTTGCACGTGGGCAACCCGGGTTCAGTCCTTGGCACCCCATATAGTCCTGAGCAACATCCTGTTCTACCCATCCCCCACTGTTGCCAGATACAGCCCTGGTGATCCCTGGTGCTACAGGGCTTAAGCAGCACTGCATCTTGACCAGAAGATTATTGGCCAAGTTTTGCTGAAATATCTAAAACTAAAGCCGATGCTTTTATCTGTCTGACTGAGCTTGTGCTTGGTGCCAGGGATGAAAGCCAAGGCCCAGGTACAGTGCAAAAGGTGAGTGCCACTGAACTATGCCCCTACCCAGCCTGAGGCAGCCTTGGGTTTAGAAGAATTAAGTGCAGACATACCTAAAACAAGACCTGTCTCCTGCCCAACAGAACCTTCAGCCCTGTGATAACAAGGTTCCCACCCCCATCACTTTAAATGAAGTTTATTGGACTGGGGAAATGGTATAAAGGCATGCACAGGGCCCCAGGTTCAATTCCCAGCACCCATATAGCCTCCCTGGCACTGGAGGGTATAACCCTGGTAACCAAAACAAAAATAATCTGGGGCTGGATTGAAAGTATAGTGCAGTGGGTAGGGTGTTGAAATATTTGCCTTGCATGTTGTCGACCTGGGTTCTGTAACCAACATCCCATATGATGCCCCTGTATCCCGCCAGGAGTAACCCCTAAGCATCACCAGGTGTGATGCAAAAAGTTTGGGTATTTGGTTTGGGGCCGCACCCAGTGTTAGGGATCACTCCTGGCAGTCTTGAGGGACCAAATACAATGTAGGGGATTGAACCTGGATTGGTCATGTCAAGGCAAAGGCCCTACCCACTGTACTGTAGCTCCAGCTCCTGGGGAAATAAAGAGCTAAATTTGCATACTTTAGTTTTTATTTTTGGGGGGAGGGGTGGCCTTTGGGCTTACAGCTCCTCTGCTCAGGGATCACTCGTAGCTGTGTTTAAGAGACCATCTGTGGGGTGAGGGAGCAAAACAGAGTTAATTGCATGCCATGGCAAAGCACCTGTACTATCTGCAACCCCAAGAGTGCATACTTTGGCTATGGAAGACCCAGTTTTGATTTCTGGGCATCACATGGTTTCCTCAGCACCACAGAGTGCAGCCCCAACCCCACTCCTACCCCAACCTTGCACCTTGAGCTGAGCACTGCTGGGTATAACAAAAAGACTCCAATTGTGTGATCAGCTGCTCAATTTGCTGTATCAGAAAATAGGTGTGAGGGCTGTACCCATTATCCTGCCCACTCCCATGTCTCATGATAATGCTTCTTCCAGATGGAAAGCCTTAAATATGAACTCAAAACGAGAGCCGTATCAATGGTAGAAGGGTTAAAGAGCTTGCCTTGCACATGGCTGACCTCAGCATCCCTAGCACCACATATGGTCCTCTGAGCTGAACATTGCCAGGAATGACTCTTAAGTGATGCCCCCACCGCCCCCCAAAAAATTGTGGGGCCAGAGTACAGCAAGTTGGGCACTTGCACATGACCTACACACTGAGATTCAATTTCCTGTATCCCATATGGTCCCCAAAGCCTCCTGAGTGCAGAGCCTGAGTGCATACCTCCCCCCAAAAAATATTTGGGGTGAGAGAGGAGAGCCATGCTTTAAATTATTGGAAATCAGGGACTTGAGTCCTGGATCTGACTCTGCCACTAAATGAATGATTTTAGGGAATATTCATAAAATGAGAGGTTGCCCAAATTGAATAGTCTTTGATCTATTCAAGGCGCAGGATTTTCAAAGGAACAAGTTGGGGGAGGTGGAAGCCCATCCTGGTGAGTATGAATGAGAGTGAATGAGTGTAAGTGGCTGAGAGTGAGTGAATAAGTGAGGCAGAGAGAGATTCATTTAGTAGTCATCTGGTAGTGCTCAGATGTGGGAGGTGGGGGGAGGAGAGAGAGAGAGAGAAATTCAGTTCATCTGGTAGTACCCAGATGGACCCAGGTCCCCACATGCAGTGAGTATGCCCCAGCGCTGAGCGCTTCATCCAGGGACCCCCTTTGCCCATAACAATTCCATCTGCTTGCCCCTCATCTCAGGGCCTCACAAGTCGCTGCCTCCTACCGTCCTCCAGGTCTACCTGGTCACTTCCGGCTGGATTAGGTCAACGTGGGCCTGTGTCGCGGGCGAGGCCACGTAACAATGAGTCTGGGCGCCCCTATCCGTGTCCCCGCCCCCGCCCCCCAGAAGGCTCGGCAGCTGGGGGCTCGGCGATGGCGTATCTGTACGAGTGTCCTTTGCGGCTGGAGAAGGGCTTCATCCTGGACGGGGTGGCCCTGAGCAGCATGGCCAGCGCCTACGAGCACCTGCGGCCCAAGCTGTGGTCGGCGATCCCACCCTACAACGCGCAGCAGGACTTCCATGCCCGCGGCTACTTCCGCAGCCGAGTGATCCCGCCCGTGCTACGCAAGACGCGCCAGGTGGGGCCGCTCCGACCCCTTTTCTCCCACAGCCCCTTTTCGCGGAGGGGAGGGTAGGCCATGGACATCCCTGGGGAGTCTGTGGTCTGGTGTGATGTGTGCACTGCAGCTACCCACCTGCCTCAGGGTGAAGTTGTACTTGCTGTCTGTTCAGGAGTGAAGAGGGTGGGCCAGCAGAGGAAAATGGAAATTCTCAGGACATGGGAGTTTTTTTTTAATTTGTTTTTGTTTTTTAGCCTCACCCTCTGTTGCTTAGGCTTACTCCTGGCTCTGCACTCAGGAATTATTCCTGGTGGTGTTTGGGTGTCATAGGGATGCCCAGGATCAGGAAGGGGGTCAAACCCAGGTTGGCCATGTGCAAAGCAAACGCCCTGCCCGCTGTTCTATCGCTCAGACTTTTTGTTTTGTTTTGTTTTATTTTTGTTTTTGAGTCACACTTGGGTGCTCGGAGTTGTTTTTGAGTCACACTTGGTGATGCTCAGAACTCACTCTTGACACTGTGCTCAGAGATTAGTCTTGGCAGGGCTTGGGACAACATGTGGTACTGGAAATTGAATCCCAGTGGCCGCTGCAAAGCAAGTGCCTTCCCTGCTGAACTCTCCAGCCTGCAGAAACTTTTGTTTGTTGGTTTGGTTTGGTTTGGGGGCCACATCTGGCAGTGCTCAGGACTTACTCTTGGCTCTGTGCTCAGAGATCACTTCTAGTGGGCTCCTGGGGGATCATATGGGGTGCTTGGGCTGGCCGAGTGCAAGGCTGACGATGCCCTGCCAGCTGTACTATCTATGGTCTGTGTTAGAAGGATTTGGCTCCACCACCTCTTCCGGCAGGCGGAGTTTTCCTTTAAGAAAAATTAAAGGAGCTTTTGCTGTGTCAGGCCCTTCCTTGAAACTACCTTGGAATCCTACCTGCTACACTGTTTCAGTCTCCTTCCTGACAGGGAGAAGCAGGTACCAGGATGCTGACCTGACCCCAAGGTCTTGCTCAGCTGGTGCTTGGCAGAGTGTCTTGATTTGGAGCCGGAGCTTGGAACTGAGTCACTATGTCAAGTCCATCTGTGTTCCCTTGACAGTCACTGTGTCTCCTCCCGGGGCACTGTGGGGCTGACAGTTTCCTGTGTTCTCTTCTTCACTCAGGACCATGGAGGGACAGGCAGGGACGGCTGGATTGTGGATTATTACCACATCTTCGGGCAAGAGCAGAGATACCTCAACAGGAGGAACTGGGCAGGCGCAGGCAAGTGCCCCTGACCTGCAGCCACTGCAATGACCCTATAGGAAGAGCAGTACATGGTGTGTGGTGTGTGGTGTGTGAAGTGTGCATCCCATTCAGAGAAACTGAGAGGCCCGGAAGGGAAAGAATCCCAGCATGAAGCGAATCCTTTTCCTCCTGTGTAAGCAGCTGGCAGCACAGTGCTACCTGTATTTAGTTACTGAGTACCCACTGACTTTCCCAGTGCTGAAAAGAATACCGGGGCCATAGTGACTCAATGCTTGGAGTAGCTCCTGGTGGTGGATGGGGCACCATCTGGTGGTGGGGGTTGAAACTAGATCTCCTGCTTGCAAAGGAGATTGTGCTATTTCTCCCATTGTGCTATTTCTCCAGCCCTGCCCAAGTACTTTCAACCTTCCCACCATGCTACCCTCAGTTCCAGCCAAAAAAATTGAGGTTTAGAAAATGCTTTGCTAAGGAGGACTGAGATGGGATGGAAAGTCTGTTCTTTCAGTTGGAGACGAGAGATAATATAAGAGGAAAGGCCCCTGACTAGCAAGCAGCTGACCCTGGTTCAAATCCCTGGCAAATTTGTTTTCCCAGTATGGTCAGGGGTTGTTGCTGAGCACAGAGCCAGGAATTGCTCCCGAGCACCTCTGGGCATGGCTCCCCACCCTCTTGCAAAATTCCTCTTTGCAACTCCGAAGACCGCATCCTATACTGCCCCCCTGAGCCGTCTGTATCCCATGCATGGTGCAGCCCAGGGTAACAGCAACAAGAAAGAGAGAGGTGAAGGGTATTTTCCAGGCAGGTAAAATCATTTTCCCATCTCCGACAATGTTGTAGTCACATTGCCCTTTGAGCCATTCAGCCAAATGGAGCTCAGTTGTTTTCTTCAGCGAGGTGGAAGAAGACGATAAATTTTCTTGGTTCTCCTGAGTTCGATTCCTCCGCCCTTTTCAGAGAGCCCAGCAAGCTACCGAAAGTATCTCGCGGGCATGGCAAAGCCTGGCAAGCTATCCATGGTGTATTTGATATGCTAAAAACAGTAATAACAAGTCTCACAATTTGTTGTGAGACGTTAGTGCTGTCCGCTCGAGCAAATCAATGAACAATGGAAGGACAGTGCTACAGTGCTATAATGCTCCTGGGAGGGAGGCAAGTTCAGCGACATCCAGAAATTTCTGGTACAGGTCCCATGCAGCAGCTTCTCCCAGCCTTGGGGCAGCCCTCTTTGTCCCTGACCACACCAAGCTTTAGTGCCTCAAGAGGATACAGAACAGGGCCTGGGGGCAGAGAGAGTGATGGGGCCCTCTCTGCCCCCCAGGGCACTCTCTCCAGCAGGTGACCGGCCATGACTCCTACAATACCAACCTGAAAAAGGTCTATGGGCTCAACGGGCCCTTTGGCTACCGTCGCAATACACCTGCTCTCCGCCGGCACCCTTCCGAGTTTGGCGAGGTCACCCCATTCCCTCTGTACTAGCAGTGTGTCTACCTTTTATAGCATTCAGCCTGGACCTTGAAGACAGCTGTCAATGAACTCAATAAAATTATATTTATATATAGATTTAAAAAAATCCATGCCTCCAAGTGCACTGTTTCTTGGGGGTTTTTTGTTTGTTTTTTGGCCACAGGGGTGCTCGGATTACTCCTGGCTCTGCACTCAGAAATTACTCCTGAAAAAAAAAGAAAGAAATTATTCCTAGCGGTGCTCAGGGGACCATATGGGATGCTGGAAATCAAACCTGGGTGGGCTGCGTGCAAGGCAAACGCCCTACCCGCTGTGCTATCACTCCTGCCCCTGCGCTGTTTCTTTTGCGCTGAAGTTGGAAAGAGGGAGAGGCTGATGTCCCCTTTGGGGAGGTGGCGAAAGGACACAGAACAACTTAGATCTGTGGCCTTAACACACCACCAACCTGTGCCAAGAAGTGGCCCCTGCTCCTGTGATGAGGAGGAACCAAGCCAACTAGCCCTCACCATGTGCTTCTCAGGCCCAATGCTCCAGACTGGCTGTTTCCATCAGGAGGTAAGATGCTTGCCTGGCATGCAGCAGACTCTGGTTTGACTTTGTTGTTGTTGGGGGAGTCAAAGTCAGTGGTGTGCAAGCTTTACTCCTGTCTCTGCACTCAGAAATCACTCCTGGTGGCCTTGGGGGACCATATGGAATGCCAGGAATCGGATTTGTTTCGCAAGCACCTTACCCTCGGTACTCTAACCCTCTGACTTTTTGTTTTGTTTTGTTTTGTTTTAAGGGGGAGGTGGCCTCACCCTGTAGTGCTTGGTCCTTTACTCCTGGCTCTGTGCTCAGGGATCATCGCTCCTGGTGGTGCTCAGGGAATCATACGCAGTACCAGGGGTCAAAGGCAGGTCAGCAGAATGCCAGGCAAGTGCCTTATCCTCCTGTACTATTTCTCCAGCTACCGATCCTAGTTTGAATTCCTAGTACCATATACCCCAAGCACTGCCAGAGATCACACCTGTGCACAGAGCCAGGAATAGCCCCTGAATACTACCAGATGTGACCCATACCCTTTCCTCTGCCGCCCTTCAAAGAGAAAAAATCAGTGTAATCACAGGAACTGCTGACATTGACCCTGAAAAGACTTTCCCAATCTCAATCTGGTGCCCAAACTAACATTTTCCTTTTTTCCACCCAATTAATTGAGAGGCAGAAAGTGAACAAAATGCTCTCTGGACGAACTGTTTAGTCCAAGGTTTTCTGATACTGTAATTCTGAGCTTGCAACACTTTATTAATGCCATGTCAGTGTCCGTTTCCTTTTCAACAGTTTCCAGGATGTCATTTTTCAGCGCCCCCACCCAGTTTACTGGTGGTCAGGAGAAAAGCCAAAGCAGGGATACAAAAGAAGGTGGAGCTTCAGAACACAGAGTCTGTTGGAATCTGGTGTGGGTGGAACCTGATTGTTCTGAGTCACCATAAGTGGACAAGGAAGAGAGGCCCAATAGGGTGTGGGGGTATAGCTCAGGGGTAGAGCATTTGACTGCAGATCAAGAGGTCCCCGGTTCAAATCCGGGTGCCCCCTTCCTCCTTTCTTTTCTCCTTTGATTTAATGGAAGTAAATACCTCCTTACTCCCAGGCACACTCTATAGGATACTCTCAGTTGTCCTGAAATACTAGTAATTCCCACATTCCAACTATCCACCTAACAGAGAACTCCAAGGCTGGAGAGAGAGAATCCAGGGTTATGATGAGATCCCTGGAGAACTCCAGTGACGTCTAGGAGAAAATCTCTAAGGAAATGCTAGAATCTGGATTAGGTCTGAGAGCTGTGGAAAGTTTACTCATGCAGGACAGAGAAAAGATGAAAGCATTCATGCAATATGGTTTTTTGTTTTTGGAGTGTTGGGGATAGCACCCGGGTCCTCATGCATGCATGGCAAGTGCTCTACCACTAATCTACCTCCCCATCTACATACAATATGGGTTTGTTTTTGTTTTCTAATTTTTGGGCTGCACCCAGCAATGCTCAGAGGTTGCTCAAGCTCTGCACTTAGGGATCTGGAGGTGCTCAGGGGACCATATGGGATGCTGAGGATCAAACCTGAGTTGTCCTCTGCAAGGCAAGCACCACACCCACAGTATTATCACTCAGACCCAGTAGATAAGATTTGTTAACAGAAGCTTTTCTACAAATTGAGAGGCTGTTTCTGACTGATCTGAAGAACAGTATAACCTGCTGTTTATGGCTCTGTGAAATCCTTCCTCAGCCCTTCTCAGGTTGATTCAGTATCAGTCACATGGAACAAATACCGGTTTGCCTGTGTGAAGCAAAAAAAGCAAAATTTGGGCTGGAGAGATACTACAGCAGGTAAAGCACTTATACGGATCAGAGGCAGAAATATGCCCTGAGCACTGCTGGGTGTGGTTCTAAAACCAAAGAGATAAAAAAAGAATTAGGTTTTCCAAGTTGGGATGCTGGAGATTTCAGAGTGGAATGCAATAAAAACTTGAGCTAGGATTCAAGGGCAGAGAGAGAGATAGACTCACACTCACACACATACAGAGAGAAAGAAAAAGAGAGAGAGAGACAGAGTGAGCAAAAGAGAGAGCTCAATGGGCTGAGCAATGTTTCATGTAAAGGAGGTCGGAGGTTAGGGTTTGATCCTTGGCACCTCACTGTTTCTCAAGCACTGAGTCAGGAGAGACCCCCAGAACACTGGCTGGTATGACCCAAATAATGGAAAGAAAAAACTGTCTATTACCTGTTTGATAATTTCTTCTCATTTCAGGACTTTTTCTCTCCTACTGTTAGTCATTTGTCTTTTTGTTGTAATTCTACATTTCCTTTTTAGTATTTTTCAATGTTTTAGTTGGCTTTTTAATGTGAATCTCTGATATTTCAAATATTCCTTTGTTACCTCATCCCATTTCTATTTTGTGAATGTTTTTATTCCCTTGTTTTTCTTCTTATTTCTTTTCCTTCTCATTTGTTTCTTAGAATTTCAGTTATTATGTTTTGTTTGTTTTGGGCAACACTTGGCAGTGCTCAGGGGTTGCTCCTGACTCTGCACTCAGGAAATCACTCCTGGAAGTGTTCTGGAGACCATAAGGATACTAGGGATTGAACCCATGCTGGCCACTGAAAGTCAAATGCCCTGTCCACTGTACTATATTTCTGGCCCCTGAGTTACAGTTACCTTTTGTTTTCATTTTGTTTTTGGGTCACACCCGACAGTGCTCAAGTTCCCTGGCTTTGCACTCAATCATAGATCATTCCTGGTGGTGCTCCGGGACCATACGGTGCTGGGATTGATACCAGGTTGGCTGTGTACAAAACTAGTGCCCTATCCCCTATACTTCTCTGTACGGCCCTGAACAGATTTTTTTTTGGGGTCACACTCGGCGATGCACAGGGGTTACTCCTTGTTTTCATGCACTCAGTGCACTCAGGTATTACTCCTGGCAGTGCTCGGGGGACCGTATGCGATGCTGGGAATCGAACCTGGGTTGGTCACGTGCAAGACAAACGCCCTACCCACTGTGCTATCACTCCAGCCCACGAACAGATATTTTCTTAAAAAGGAGATACAGATGGGGGCTTAGGATATGGTTGGAAGGGATCCCTTATGCACTGCTGGGTGTGTGCCCTCTCCCAAATAACTTACTTTTTTTCACTTTTTTAAAAAATGAAGACACAGGCTGGGGAGATAGTACAGTAGGCCTTGCATGTGGCTGACCTGGATTCATTCCTGGAACCCCAATAGCATTCTAAGCTCTGTCAGAAATGATCCCTGAGTGTAGAGACAGGAGTCAGCCCTGAGCACAGCCTGATATGGGCCGAAAACCAATATAAAGAAATAAATAATAAAAAAGATAAAAGGAAGATGCATAAATGCCAATTAGCCCAGGAAAAAAATTCAGCAGCCTGAGTCATGAGCCAAATGTAAGCAGAGTCCTGCTCTGCCTGTGTGCGTCAGATGATAAAAATGAAAGATTGACAACATCAGACACCGACTCTCAATCAAGTTGGTGGGAATGTGAAAGAGTTGACTATTTTGGGAAAAGATCTGGCAGTCTGTTTGAAATATATTCAATGCCCAGCAATTCTATTCCTAGGATTTTACTCAAGATAAATGGAAACATATGCGCACTAAAAAGCCTCTATAGGGATGTTCATCGCAACTTTATTATTTATAATAACCCAAACTAAAAACAGACTGACCACCCACTGTGAGGAGGAAAATGGTTCTAAAAAGTTAGTGTCCAGTTTCCAGTCAGAGGGACAATGCTCAAAGGGATGGAGCACAGGCCTGCCATTGCAGATCCTGGATTCCATCCCCAGCACCATATGGTCCCTCCAGGGAGCATCAAACCCAGAATAATTGAGCAGTGGTGTATGGCCCTCAAACCAAAAGCAAATTTTTTTTTAATGTTGAGGACTTGGGGGCCAGAGCTATAGTACAGCGGTTAGGGCATTTGCCTTGCATGCAGCCGGTCCAGGTTCAATTCCTGGCATCCCATATGGTCCGTCAAGCATCGCCAGGAGTAATTCCTGAGTGCAGAGCCAGAGGTAACCCCTGAGCATCACCAGAGAAGTCAACTGGGAGGGGTAAGTCACTACTAGGGGAGAATGTGTGTGTATGTGTGTGTGTGTGCATGTGTGTGTGCCACACATGATAGTGCTCAGGTCTTACTCCTGGCTCTGTGCTCAGGGAATCATTCCTGGCAGTGTCTGGGAACCATAGGGGATGAGACTGATCAGCTGCATGTAAACAAGAGCCTTATCCCCTATTCTATATTGCTATTCCCCTAAATATCACAAGCTGTACCCAGCCTCAAAATATTCTTATCCAAATGAGTTCTGTTAGAGTGCCTGCCAGCAGCTCCACCGGAAATGCCTCAAGACTAGTTTAGAGTCCTAAGCTGAAAGAGGGATATGATTGGAGATGATAAATTGGAATATATGCTATGTCATCAGCATTTAGTTGGTACTGGGCTGGAGTGATAGCACAGCGGGTAGG